CTGCGGGCGTGGGGCGCTGGCCGGGGGCTGTGAACGCCCTGCCTGTAGCTGCTGGGCGCCAGAGGATGGGGAGAAACCCAGATGGACGGCTGACAGACCGACGGCGCCTGGGGGATGCGCGCCCCCTCACGCAGAGCTCGGGATTGGAGGGGCCCGAGTAGGAAGGGTGTGTCGCGACAGAAACTCTGGCCTCTGCTCCCGACTCCTGCGTGACCTTGGGCAGGTGACCTGCCCTCTCTGGTCTCCCTTAGTTGAGCGAGGAGGGAGGCAGGCTGCTGGCACCAACAATGACAGCCTCTTCTTGGGTTCCAGCATCCAACTGCATCTTGTAATTTCTTCCCCTTCTGACATTACTTAGGTTCCCTGTGAAGGCACTTCTTCACCTGGAAAATGGGGGTAAAAATCCTTTATGAGGTGTGAGGAATTCAGCGGGAAGGAGCATAGAAAACAGCTAGCACACAATAGGTCCTCAGTTAACATTTATTGACCTACTGCGGTGGTCCCCACCACCACTGATGATAAGATACTTATCCAGATGTCTAGCCTATGTTAATTGAGCACCTGAAACGTTCCAGGTTCAGTGTGAGGTGTCTTATTTTCTCAACTGGGAGAGGCGGGTGTTAGCGTTCCCATTTTATAGATGAGGAAACTGAAGCACAGAGAGGTAGCTAGCACATGATACCAGGGATAGAAGCGTGCTTCAGGAAACTTCCAGGCTAGTAGTAGTCCTCAACACCCCGTTCCTTGCGATGATACTGCCATGGGGAGTTTTGGGTGAGGGGAAGGGACAAGCAAGTGCCATCAAGTTGTTAAGATGGTCTGTGGCTTAGATTGGAAGCACCAGGTTCTATGAGCAGTGTGACAATCATGACCTCCAGAAAGTCATGATTTTGCATCTGTGAAATGGGTCACCAGCCAGTCTGTGCATGGCTAATGTCTCAGGGTGTTCTGATGATCCAGCCAGCCTGTGGCTGGCACAGGAAATTTTTAGCTACAGCAACAGTATCCATCAGTTTGCTAGGACTGAATGTGTGGGTGCTAGTGGGCTAGCATAGGCATCGCTGGCTCTTACAGATACTCAGGGGCTAATAGTATGTACAGTTGCACCAGAGGAGGCCTCTGCAGAGAGGCAAGGCTAAGGGTCTGTGCTCTTACCCCTGGGGCATGAAAAGAGGTGGGCAGGGCTTGGGCCCAGACAAGCAGGCGTGGCTCTTGACTGGCTGCCCCGCCTTGTAAGCCTGTCCTCTGTTGCAGGCCTGGGCTTCCCAGCCCAGGAGGAGGGAGGCTTTTCTGCCTGCTACCTCTTGGCCATATGGGGCCTCAGGTGGGCATGAATGTGAAGAAGAGGTACATTTCTTTTGGTACTGGGGATCAAACTTGGGACCTCATGCTTGCGAAACAGGAGGCAGAACCACTGAGCTAAATCCCTGGCCTAGAAGAGGTGCATTTATCAAGCACTACTGTGCACTAAGATAAAAGTTTTAAATCCAATGGCCAATTTTTAGCTCTTTCCAATAGCCTGAGAAGACAGATTTATGCCTGAGGGAACTGTCTCAGAAGAGTAAAGTCATGTGTCAAGCCTAACCCTAACCCTAAGAGTAAAGTCACACAGAACAATGAAATTCTGGGATGTGAAGATAAAAACAAACAGGCCATGGCTGTACCTGGGAACAGGCAGCATGGGCTGACCCTGCCCTACCTGCCCCTTCTCGGGGCTGCCTACCTTCTCACAGGAGAGGCCTCAACCTCGCTGAAGCACCTTGTCCCTCCTGTTGGGACTGGGGTTCCATTGCACCCCTGAAGGTCCTGATGACCATGGCATACGAGGGCAAAGAAGCTTGGCCACTTTCTGCCCCCTTCCTGGCAGCTCCTGGGAGAGGAGAGGAGGTGGGGCCCTGATGTCAGCTTTCCTTGAGCAAATGCTCGCTGGGGTGACGACAGTCACCTGGGCTGCAATGTGCAGACGGTCTAGGTCCACACGTGTCAGACGGTGAAGCTGAAAGCCAGAGGGGCAGGACTTGTACACTTCCTCAGTGACAGAGGCGGAGTCATCCGGGGACTAGGAGTGTAACTCTACCCTGGCTCTGCCCCAGACTACACCACTCCGCCTCCCTCTTCCCATCCCTTCGCCTTAGCTTGGAAAATATTCAAACAAAATAAAATACAGCCTTAGACTTTCTAGGTGTTGTCCACATCAATCACCCTGCACATGAGCCCCAATTTTATGGTCATTCCAATGGCCACGAGTTTGGAAACCGAACACTTTTGACGATCGTTGCCACTGACATTTTCTCCTTTCCCCTCTCTCCCTCTCTCTCCTCTTTCTGTCTCTCTTTTCATTTCTCTCAGTATTTCTCCTGATCTAGAAGTGAAATGGAGCTGTGTGCTGATTTAAGAAAAGTGTTAGATGAAAATGTACTTCCTTTTATTATATAGGGAGATATTTTTAAAATGCATATAAATAAACATTTTTAATTTGCCTAAACATTCAGATTTTATCACTGTGAAGCATGTGTTGTGCTACACTGGGGAGTGGTGGCTGCGAAGAATGAGGTTGCAGACTGCTTCCCATATGGTGTGGTGGAGAATGCAGTTCCGGAGTGGCCCCATTGGGCCAGGATCGCCCCCCAGAGCTGCCCTGGACCAGGCCTGCCAGGCTCCCCTGTCCTGCATCTCAGCCACCCAGAGCCAGCTGGTTTCCTCAGAGGCCCGTGGTCTTCCGGTCGCCTCTTCTTGCTTCAGAGCTCACACACACACACACACACACACACACACACACACACACACTCACACACCCTCCACACTACTGCTAGAGACCTCTTCTCCCAAAGTATCCATTCTTAACCCTGAATCCCTCCCCAGAGTTGAGCAGTTTCCTGTTCTGAGCAGCTCACCCCAATCTCTTGTCACTCAATGATGACTGGCTTCTCCACGGGACTAAGGTCCTTAATGTAGCTTTAAGGCATCTACATGGGTCCCCAAAGTTGCATGCAAAACCTAATGCTGATAGGCATGATCTTGATTTTCTAGAGGCCATGACCAGGCTGTGGGCCACAGAGGGCCAGTTCAGACAGATTTAGCACCAGCAGGACCTGCTGCTGGCAGAGGGGAGTGTAGAATTACTGTGTGCAAAGCAGTACCAGCTATTCCTTACAGGAGAGCTGGGTTGTTCCTTAGCCCTGGTATGGCTCGAGGATCTGGTGAGACCTCAGGACGTGTCTTCCCTGAGCCCGTACCTCCTTAGGTGACAAGAAACAAACAGGGTACCAGGCAGCCCATGGCACTGCTTGGAAGTTTTCCTAAGTAAGTTTCCTTTTTCATGGAGCTCAAACACCAACTGACAAGTGCCCAACAACCCAGCCATGGGCCCATCCAAACTCCTGACCTCCTACGTGGGCAACTGCTACAGCTCACACAGGCTGCCAGTCTTGGCTACTGGCTTCCTGCTAGGCAGAGGTATTCCCGAGGCCAGGGACAGACTTGTCCGACCTCAGATCTTCATGGCCACCATCTGTCCTCAGCACTGGGGGGAAGGGTGGTAAGAACATCACTCAGGCCTGCTGCCATCTGCAGCAGCCCCACGAGCAGGTGGCTGAAACAGGAGCACTTACCTCCTCGGTCAGCCCTGTGCCATACCCAATCCTGAGATCAGTTATTTTATTTTCACTTGACAAGGAGGAGGCTGGTGCTGAGAGAAGGAAAGTAACTTGCCTGAGTCTCCCAACTTGGAAGCAGCCACACTGGAGCGGAGGCCATCACCCTGAGTTCCCACATAAGTCACAGAGAAGGCATGGCCCTACAGCCCCAGGGTGTGTGGAGCCCAGCAGAATACTGATGGACCCGGTGGGGCTCCTCCTGGGCAGGGAGGGTGGACAAGGAGCACTGAATTAAGGGAAACTCAAGTGGCCCCTTCGAAGTGGGGCTTGTCAGAGCCTTTGATTGCTACCAAGCCACTGGCACTTCTGCAGGAAGTGAAATCTGCAGGATTTCCCACACTTACTTTGCCAGAGATGTTTCTTCTTGGAAGACCAGCTCTCCGCTTTCATAAAGGGGAAAATGGAAGCCCTGAGAGGGGCAATACTTACCCCAGGGTCACACATCAAATCTTTTTAAAGGGCAGAAGACTGCCACCTTCCTTCCTACCAGCCCTTCTCTCGCTCTGCTCTTGGAACCCTGGTCCTTTCCTCTGGTACCACCTTGCTCCCATACTCTGTGTGTCTCTGGTTATGGATGAGGCCAGGGGCTCCCCCGAGCCACTGGCAGGAGAGAGGTGCCTGCTGGTCTATGAGGGCTGTGCCAGGACTACATCCACTTTGTGCATTGTTATTGTGGGCCCCAGGAGCAAAGGGCGACGGTAGACAGGCTGTGTATACTTTTTATGGCTGGGCCTCCTCCCAGAACAGTAAACAGAGGGACAGGCAGCTGACACCGGAGCCCTGTGGGGAGAAGAGGCCCCAGGCTGCAGACTCCTACACACTCTGGAAGGGAGGTAAGAACAGTGGCTTCTCCTGGGTGTGAACAGAGATCATACTCCGAGTTCATATTGCTCCTATTCCTTTCTACCATTCTTCCCTTCTGGCTCAGTCAGCACCTGCTGGTCCTTAAGGTCTCAGTTCAGACACCACCTCCTCCAGAAAGCTTTCTGGGCCTTACAGGATAAGCTAGGTGCCTTCTCCATGCTCGCTGGATTCTCTGGTCCCCATGCTGTCCAGAGTACAGCTCTGACTGTCCCCTACCCTGGTATATTAGTACCACCTGAGCACACGACAGGCTTCACTGACTAGGAACTTCCAAGCGGCAAGGCCTGTGTGCCTGGCACGTGAGGTACCCAATGAACATCATCATTTGAAAGAAAAAACCTGAACTGAAAGAATATGAAAAATTCAATAGGCTGATGGACTGTCTGATGATTCTACTTAACAAGTGGACTCAGGCTTTCATGTAGCCCTATAGACTTACTCTAACTCTAACAATGTCTCGTTTTGATCTTTTAAATGTATTTTAAAGGTGACTTTGTTGTAGGCCTACAAAACAGGAAGGAAATATATAACTGTTAGGGAAGGGAGAGGATGATGTATACTTCTAAATCATTTTTCTTTAATGCTATGTGTAATAATTTTTATACATTTTTAAAAAGAGGAAAAAATTTATTGTTGAAGCTGCATCCAAGAGAGTCACTGTACTAAATACCTGTCCAGCTGTGAGCTCCGCTTGGCATAGACAGTCTCTGGGGCCCCCTGGGGCCCAGACCTGATTCACAGCCCACAGGGTGTACTCTGTCCCTTTCCTGGTCACCTCTCCCTGCATCGCAGGCCTCCCTGCCAGTGCCAGTCAGTGGACAGGGCTCTGGCAGTCAGAGAGCACTCACTGGAGCCTCACCTCAGACCCAGGCCAGGGGCTTTAGTCAGCACCCAGGCTGGGGAGGGGCAGGTGAAGGTGGGGCTGCAGGAAGAGGCAGGTGGGAGTAGTCACAGCCTGCCAGCATCCCATCTTCTCTGGGCAGTACCCCTCTCTCCAGGGCCCACCTGTTCCCTACAACAGCCTTCCTCCTCCCCCACCAAACCTAGGGACCTAGGGCCCTGCCCTGACCCTCCACTCTGCCCTCTGGAGGTCGAGTGCCCACCTGGGCTCCCTCATCCCCCTGAGGCCTAGAACACAGGTGCCTGAAGAGGTCCTCGCCAATAGGCTCTCCGCCCAGACAGCCAAGGGATGCAGGGACTGGGTGGGTGACTTGTCCATGGTGACAGAGGCAGGGCTGGGGCAGGCCTTATGTCACAAACCCCATCAGAAGCTCTGCCCCCAGCACCCAGCTCCCCAGGTCCTCTGAGCCACAGGACGGAGAGGGACTAGGGCAGAAACTCCTCTTTGACAGGCACTGGGGAGGAAGCACCCAGGAGGCCAGTGTTGCTGGGGTCCAGGCCCCCCAAGGGTGGCCCAACTGAGGTGGGGGTGCCTTCCAGGGTGTCCAGGGCTGGCGTTAGCTGTGGAGCTGGCGGTTGCTGCTGCTGCTTCTTCTTGTTCACTTTGCGCTCCTTCGCTCGACGGTTTTGGAACCAGATCTTTACCTGTGAGGTTACCAAGCAGAGATGTGGAGGGGGTGACAGAGCCAGAGGGAGGGGGCCTCTGCTCATCCTTCTCCGGGGGCATCTGGGGCCACCAGGCCTCATGGGCCTCGAACACACCCTCCCTCTAGAACCTCTCCCCCATTCGGCTCCCTTCTAGCAACACTCCCTCCGTCCCTCCCCCTCTCATGCCCCTCCCTCCTCCAGGGCTAAGCAGCTCCGACCATGGCCTGCTGTGTCCTATGGCTCACTGGATGTGAGAATGTTAGGAGTTCACGGAGCGGGCTGGCAGCAGCTCAAGGTCTGCTGTGCTATGGCCTCTCTGTTCTCCCTCTACTGAGCTCTGTAATCTGTTGGCAGCGCCCGCCCCCAGTTCTGCTTCCAGGGCTGAGGTGGGGGCTCACATACCTGGCGCTCAGTAAGCCCCAGGTTGGCGGCCAGCTCAGATTTCCGCCGGATGGTGATGTACCGGCTGTAGTGAAACTCCTTCTCCAGCTCCAGGCGCTGGTGGTCTGTGTAGACCACGCGGTACTTGTCCTTGGTCCGAGTCTTACCTGAGAAGCAGAGGGGCCAGGAGGGAAGTTGAGGTGGGGAGCGGTGTCACAAAAGGCCCAGAAAGGCTCCCTGAGAGGAAGCTGCTGAAGGAGCTGGGGCTTCACCCAGTTCTTCTGACCCTGAGCCCTGCTCTGATCGTCAGCTGCACCAGCTTGAAACCAGCAGCTGCCGGCTGTGGCTTCCCAGCGCACTCCCAGGAAGCCGGTGAGGAAAGGCTCGGGGACACCTTGACAGTTGAATCAGATGTTTGGGGTGGAATCTGCATAATTTAATAAAGGCCCTAGGTGGTGCTGATCCAGAGGTCCTCAGACCACGAGTTCCAACTCCAGAGAGACGAGGGGAGCACCTGCCAGGAAAGGGCAGGTGGAGACTAAGGTGAGGTCCATGGTGCAGAACAGCAGGGAAGGCCATCAGCAGTGGAGGGGAAATGGAAATGTTTAAGAACTGTACTAGGCAGGAGGATCCCGGTCCCTGCTGAGCCACCCAAGTCAACCCGGAAGGACTGGAACTGCTTGAGACACCCTGGCCCTGCCCCAACCTCGAGCTGGGGCTGTACTAGGGTTGGGGGTACTCTGTGTCCAGTTTGGGCAGTGCCTCGGGCCACAGCCGCAGACTCGCTGAGCTCCTGCTGTAAGCCACACTCTGGAGCGGGCAGTGAGCTTCTTCAAGTATGGGAAATATTTCATAGGTTAATTGGTAAAGGTTTCAGAAGAAGAGAAAGGATTTCAGAGGGAGGACTGGGAACTTCCAAAAGACAGGGCTGTGGTTTTAAGTAGAGTAGTGCTAACTGGATGTGGCTGTAGTCCATCTACTTTAGGAGCTGAGATAGGAGGGTTGCTTGAGCACAGGAGTTCGAGACCAGCCTGAGAAACACAGCAAAACGCTGTCTAAAAAGTAAATGAAAGAAAAAGCCTCCCCCAAATGATAAACTTTACTAAATAGAGTAGTCCATGGAGGATTTACTAAGAAACAGAATCTGAGCAAAGATCTAAGACAGGCGAGGGGAACTAGGTTCCAGCCCAGGGACACCAAAGCCCAAGGCCCTGTGCTGGGGACCTGTCTGCCACGGGACGGTGAGGCAGTTGGTGGGGCTGAGGTGCAGTAATCAAGGGTTGAGCAGGAGACATTAGAGGGTATTTCACTGTCGGGATGGAAACTCCCACAGGGCGTGAGCAGAGGTGACATGAGGTCCTGTGTGGGCTTTCACAGTTGTCTGGACGTAGCACAGAGAGGAGGAGACACAGTGGGGAACCCTACAGTAACCCAGGAGACAAGATGGTGGCTTGGCTTCTAGATGGGGCTCAGTCTGGGGCCAGGAGTTGGACTTGAGGACTGTCTGGGGTTAGCATCGGGCTTTTGGGGCCAGAGGTCTGTCTGGGGAAAATAGTAGGAGTCAGCTTAGCCTCAGCTGGTTGGGGCTGGGGGGCTGGCTGAGCACCAGTTTCCTTTACAGGAAGCTAAACACATGCTTATAAATAGGAGGCACGTGCCAGCACAGGCATCCACCAGGATGCGGTAGAAATTGGAACAGCCACAGACCCCTCCCCGCCCACCCGAGTGACCCCGCAGTGCCAGCCTTTACCTCCCCGAGTTGCACACAGGCATGGTGGCCTGGCCCTCAGTAGCCCTCACTCACTACCCCCACCTTGTTCTGCCCCTCCACCAAGCCCACGCAGCTTGGCAGGACGGCCACTGGGCTCCTCGTAGCCAAACAGCTCTGTGGAGAACAGGCGACAGCAGATGTTCCGGGGCGGCTTTTCCCTGGATTTTCTGCCGAGCAGCGGAATCACACCGGACGCTTCCATAGCCACTGACCTCAGTCCCCTGGCCGACAGCAAGTGACAGCCTCAGCCCTTGGCCAGGCCTGGCCTCAGGAAAGGGCCAAGGGAGTGGCTGCGGAGGCCTTGGCTCCAGAGTGGCCCCCTCCTTGGCCTAGAACATTTAACACTGGCTCAAAGACAGTTCTGCCTAATGCCTCGGCCACTGGAGTCTAGCAGGGCTCTTAGTCCACAGGTTGTTGGGCTCACCAGGCTAGAGCCAGGACGGGTTCTGGGAGTAGACTGTGGTTCAGGATGGTCACAGGGCAGCGGCCTGGTGAGTTCCTCTAGTTCAGCCCGTGGAGTCAAGGTCCCTGGGGGCCCTGGTGAGCACCCTGCCCAAGGTTATATGCCAGGGTGTGGAGTGCTCAGCACCCTCTAGTGTATATCGGAGCCACTGAGCCCGCCACCGGCCCCTGGCACTGGCAATGCTCCCTAGGAGGCCAGAGCATGGCAGGCGGCTTTAGAACAGGACTGCCACAGCCCCTCCCACTTCCAGGCCCACCGTTCCTCCGTCTGAGCAGTTATAGCCGTGGTCGCCAAGGCCATCTTCCCCAGCTCTCCCTCTTGCTCTTTCTGACAGGCAGCAAGGAGGCGGCGGCATGCCATGTCACAGGTGGGGAGTCACGGCCCGGAAAGCAGCACTTGCTGAAGGTCGCCCTACCTGGTGCTGGGTATGATCCAAGACTCAGACGCCAAATCTTCCCCAAATGGAGGGGAGGCATGGGATGAGACGGTGACAGGGCCCTGGCTAGCAAGGCTGCCAATGGAGATGGCCCATCGGCCTTGATGTCCCCCTCTGGCTGTTGAGAGGCGATGGAGGCTCAGCAACCCACTTGGCCCCCTTCCACCTGAGTGAGCTCCTCAAAGAGCACCATTTCATGACTAAGAAAACAGTTCTGTCAAAGAACAAGCCTGATTCCCAGACACCAGAGGGTCCCTGATGTCCAGGGAGCATCCTCCTTGGATCCCAACTTGGTGGGACAGAGCCACGGACCATGAATCCCACTTCCAGGAATGGATCCCACGGAGAATGACCTACAGCTGATGCCACTGCTCATCACACAAGACAAAAAAATTGCACGATTAACAAGATACGGAACTTGCATGTGGAGAAGCATTATATGGTCATTAAAAGGAAATTAGAAAATGAGAACCAAGACCTGTCGTGTAAAGGTACAAGATCCCAATGATGAATGCAACTGCACTGTATACTTAAAAAGTACCGATAAACTCAATTACAAAAAAAAAAAAAAAAAAA